TGTACTTCATGTAAAATCTCAATTAAATATTCAATAAAGATAGAGGCATGGCCTTACTATTAATATTAAAAAAAAAAAAAAAATAACATTTGTATAATAATTGAAACTGTAAATTCTGAAGACCAAAGACTGTTAGTACATATTTCTTAACGAGTTTAAATTTTAAAGACTTAAAACTTTTAAAATAAATATAAAATTTTATACTGAACAAGTTTACTTAAGAGCCAAAAATACATTAACTTAGTAAAATAAATAGTTATAAATATTTTTGTACAGATGAATTTTTAGTTAAAATTTGTGTAAAGAATTTGTGAAAAGAGTTGAATAATATTTTATTTAATATTTTGATATTTATATTTCTTATTTTTATTACTAATTTTTTATATATATTAAATCAGTTTTATATTATATAAAAGTTTTAATTTATTTTATATTTCTATTTCAAAATTATTTTATTATTTATTTATTTAATACATATTTTGTACTTAATTTATTGTTTTTTAATTTAGTTATTACTAAAAGTATATTTGTTTTGTTGTTATTTGTTATTATCAAATAATTATATATTCTAATTTTTTTTATATTAGAGATAATTTTCTAATTTTTTTAAAATTTTTATTTAAAAATACAAGAACAAATAAAAGTTTTATTATAATAAATTTTATATATATTTATATTTAGATAAAATATTTGTATTTTTATATGCTAGATCTTTTCTTTAAAGATCTAAGTGTTTACTTATTAGTTTATATTTTTTTATATGTTTTTTTTGTTTATTTCTAAAAATAAAAATTAATCACTATTATTTTTTCTATCTGGTATTATATAAATAATAATAATAGAGACTCATGAGTTGATAGCATAATGGTTAGCACTCCCAGGTCTTAATCGCAAGGTCACAAGTTCGAGTTCAAAGGGTGACAACAACTCTGCCAAGACCACGATTGAAAAAAAGATTTATAGAGAACTTTTATTTAAAAGCAAGATCAAGATTCATACAAAAAGAATGCAGTTAGTGACATAGTCACAGGGTTAGGGACAACTAGATAAGATATAATCCATTAACAAATAATGCTAACATGAGAGAGCCTAATTTAAGAATACATAATAGTAGAATTAAGGACTTTGAAATATACAGATGATCCAGCTAGTGGGTCATGTAAAGTTAGGAAACTGCAGACTGAAAAAGATAATAGGTCTTACACTATGGGGCCAGAGACCCAGGACATTATATAGCAAACTTGATGAAGCATGAGTTATCTCATAAGCTTGGTGATATGCAGGGCCCACATGCCATCCAATAATCTTTACCAAATGATAACTCTGACTTTTAAGAGATGTGACAGATCCTAAAGGTGTCTAAGGACCTTCAGGATAGTGAAGGAAGGTAAAAAAAAAATAATAATAATAATGAGAAAAAGATAATTTAAATTATTTAATTTTAAATAAAATTTTCTTTAAAAAATAATAAAAATTGATAAAAATTTGTAAAGTTTTTTTTATAAGTTTTATAATTATATATAATATTTTTAATATTTTATAATTTTAACTAATTCTTTATTTTTTATTATTTTTTAAAATATTTTTTTAGTTTAAATATTAATCAAAGAAAAAATTCTTAACAAATAACTTATTTATTATTTACATAAATTTTTTCATGTTTTTTTTTGTAATTCAGTTTTTGACATTGTTAATTAAAGAATTATTAGAAAGAGTTTTTAAATGCTTTTGAATAATAATAAAATCATTAAGTAAAAACTTAGTAAGATATAATTTTCAAAAATTAACTATAAACATTTATTAATTAAACCATTTTACCAAAATTTATGGTTTTGCAATTTTGTGCAATTTAAAAATTGTGTTTACTCAAAAAAAAACTGACATGTACAAGTACAAATTTTTTAAATAATAAAACTTTACTATAATACTGTAGATAAATAATTTTATTATGTATTGTAAAATTTTAATATGAATTAAAATTATTTAAAAAAGTTTAGTAAGATGTATTAATTTTATATAAAAATTATAAAATACCATCTAAATTATATGAAAAATGATTTACATACTCTACCCTTAAGTTTATAAATGCTGGAATGAATTATAAATTTATACTGTTTACGAATCGCTAGGTCATACCTAGTACCTATATTTTTATAAGAACGCTAAAGAGTATAGCAACAATAGATTATCAAGTGCCGCATAGTTTTTCTATTTCTTCCCACGGAATTTCAAATATTGGTTTGTGTGGGTTGGTGCACAATCCTTCCCACGTTGTTAGTGTTACATTATTGCCTGCTTTGTCTTTAACTGTAGTATCATTTGGTGGTGGTGGCAATTCGGGAAACTTATGTGGAAGTTCAACAAATTGAGCTAACATTCCAACTTCCATATGCCACTTTTCAAAAAAAAGTATTATTAATACATCATCCAATATATACATATTGTAATCATAATAAAACTTTTACCTCAATATGACAATGAAAAGCCCAAACTCCAATATTACCCACTTTAAAACGAATTTTCACTCGACTTTTAGTTTAGAAATTAAATAAAATTAAGATATGTAAACGTTAACCTTTTCGTAAATTCAAATGACTCACCTATGAGAGGGGACAGTCACGGTGTCACGTCTAATCGGGTGATCAAATTTTACAACTTCTGCATAGCAATCATATTGATATTCCATAACCCAAAAGGAATGTCCATGCTAAATATGTATTTAAAAAGGTGAATAATATATATAAACGATGATAATCACTAGCTTTAAGTATTGTTACCAAATGGAAAGGGTGAGAAACATCGTCTAAATCTAAAAAATAAATAAAAAAAATGAATAAAATTAAGTAAAATAAAATTGGTTATACCATTAAAGCAATTACATTATAATATCTGCCTTAAAATACTAACTTGACAATGAAATGTCAATAACTTGCGATTCTTTATCTAAAACTATGGCGTTCAGTTCAGGTTTATAAATTTTAGAACCGTATTGTTCAACCATTTTTAGATTTAACATTGTAAAATGAAATGTATTTTCAGGGTAACCGAAGATTGTATTGTTATCTTTCAAAAGTTTATCCTGAGGACCTGATATTAGAGATATTGAGCCGTACGTTTCGTAATTTTTGTTTATATTTTTCGTAGAGTTAATTGTGGTCATATAAATTTTAAATGAGAGATTTTGGTAATTTGGTTGGTTTGTTTTTGGATCTAGTTCTGGATATGGTACTTTTAATAAATCATTTGCTTGGAACAACAAAGTATAATTAAGATCAGTACAGTGTAGATCTCCACCCCATGGAGTAGTATTGGGTTTTTTTATATCAGATTCATTGTAATTAACAATTGCTTTAATTTCTTTGATTAGCAGCTCCTTTTGATCTTGAGGTGTATCAGGTCGAAGACAATCTGTGCTAGTTTGAAAACGCATCCAAAAATTGTTTGTTGTTGTATTATTAGTTGTGGCTATTACAGAATATCTTTGTCCGACACTAATAGGTAAAAGTTTGACTTGTTCTGTTGACTTGACGCGCATTCCTTCAACCTCGATAATTTCTAACATATGATGATCAATTGAAAAATAGTATATCGTTAACGCTCTAAATATAGTAATGAAAGATATGATTAGTCAATTTTATTATTACCCTGCATTTAATATGAGAAATATTTTATTATTACCCTGCATTTAGTATGCGAAGTCGATATTTCTTTTTCCTTTCAAAATGATATATATGATCAGTTTCAATACTACTATGCATAAGTATTTTATTACAATTTCCTCCACCTTTTCCATTGATAAGTACGGAGTTCGGAACAGGCTATTAAAAAAAGCAGGTTAATGTTTCATAGAATGATTTCTAAAGAAGCGAATATTTAACAGTATTACCTCAGGAGTTAATTGATTTGTAACATTACAGTAACTATATTGGTTTATTAGGTCTTCTGCCCGACGATGAAACCAGTCCGATATGAGTACACAATACGGGCATCGATTCTGTTTATCCTCAACTAAATCGATATAACTATTATCGTCATCCTTAATAATTATGTAGCCATAAAATCCGTCAACACGTTGAGGTTTATAATGAGCATGACTAGATTTATATTAAGATTTGGTTATTATGATTAACTTAGTCATTAAAATTATTTAGTTGTATACTTACTACCAATGGGTACCAGGTATATCATTAGCATAAAAATCGTATAGAAAAATTTTATGTGAATAAATTAAACATTGAGTTATGGTCGGAACTCCATCTGCATAAGGGTTGTTTTTCATATAAAGTCCATGCCAATGGACTGTGGTTGGACCTTCAAGTTCATTCCTTATTAAAATTCGAACACGTTGTCCTTTGTTCAATATAAGGGTTGGTCCAGGGAATGATGCATCTTCAGGCTTAAGTTTTTTGCCATTTTCATCATAGGTAGGGTAAACAACTACGACTTCTCGTTCTTTGCATCCGTCAACATTCCTAGAATGTGTGGCAACTGTCCAATCAATAATATCATTATCATTTACTTTGATTTCACGAGGACGAGGTGTAGACAATGCCGAAATAGATAATTGTAAAATTATAAGTAATACTGCAAGAATTATTTTTTTCAATGCTATTTTCATATCCATTTTATTTCATTATTACAAGAATTGAGTTCGGAAAATGGACAATTATTTAAAATTTTGACGAATTCTTTTTTTTCAATCGTTTCTAAAAAAAAAAAAGGCAAAGCCCATAATTTCCGGAAATTACCGAAAATTTGTTTGTTTTTCGATGCAGCATTCTGTTCACTTTGAGCTAATAAACAATAACAATTGATTTTCGCCGGTTAAAATACCTTAATTCTTAAACCTTGAATTAGCATATCTCTGAAGAATAAATTAATTCAATCTCACGACTATTCTAATTGACAACATCTCAGACGAATCAAAAAGAGCTTACATCCAAATATTTATTTCTTGAGAGGAATCAAAATATATTCATTTTGATCTTCAAGTATGCTGCTGTTTTATGAATATTTACAATGTTGAGTCATTTTTTTATATACGTTATAACTTTTTTTTTGAAGCAAATAGAAAACCCGGGACAGATTATAAATATTAATAACGATAATATTATATAAATATTTAAGTTTCGAAAACACGATTTTACTTTTTATTTGCTTTGAAATAAATTTATTTATCGCAATATGCGGTGCGCCTCTCACATGATAGACCAACAATATCGACACGTGACTGTAATTGCGGCATTCCAAAAAATCTTCAAGCTCGTTTAAGGTAGGGTTATGTTAACAAGATGAAAAGTAAAATCACACAAGGAAAACTTTTTGTTAAGGCACCAACTGTGGTTTCCTATGCTGATTTTTGTGTTACGAACGATTTTTGGTAAAACGAACGTTTGTTTTGATCGTGTTACGTTACACCTGATCTTGAAATACGATTGGATTGCGCCACTAAAATATCACGTATCCGTACCTTTTTGAAGGCAAAACATTCATTTTTGATATTTCTGCACCTACTTTTTTGATACATCTAAACATACCCTAAAAATTTCTATACTTTTTATTAGCTTTTACTATAATAACGTGCGATCTTACTGGTTAGTTTTAGGGTATGTTTAGGTGGATCAAAAATGTAGGAGTATGTTTTGCGATGCTGAATATCGAATTTCAAGATCAGGTGTAATGTTACACGACAGGAAATTCGGGTTCTAAAAAAAATTCCTTGATGTGCTAAATTATAACTTTTTGTTTGTTATGGTGTGCCGTAATTTTTGTATATTCGAATTAATTATTCACGTTATAACTTTTTATACTCAATTTTATATTTCGAAACTTGCCATAATTTTCGTAACTTGTTATATCGTCTTTTTTTAAGGCTTGATTAAACAGAAAATTTTCTTCTTCAACTTTTTGAGATGTAATATTTCATTCACTCTTGAGGTGTGTTGATAGATGATGGGAAGTAGAATACTGACATATAAAAAGTTGATTGGTGTTATAATTTAACTCAGATAATGGGAAATATGATCTATTATTATTTAGAACCAAATTGTCTTTGTTCATATTCATTGTAGAAAATTTTCGTTAATAGACAATATTATATATAACCTATTTTTTATATATATTAAATACCAATACTGGCAGTATTTTGAATTCATACGGGATTCATACGATTTTTGCCGCAACCGTAACCTGCAATGTGTCGTACGGTTCATTGGGACAGTTCCGCCTGCACCTCTACCTAACACTAACCCAACCATAATAAAAAAAATGGTTTGATTTCATCTTTTGATCTGCATCAGATGCGATGACATCGCTAGGCGATGTATAAATTACCTCTTATTTTTTTATTCGCTTTAAAATTTTTAACAGTTATTCTTTTTATGTACTTGTCTTATCTTTGCCAACTTTCTTTTTATTCATTATACAGATGCTTGAACTAGAATTTGTGTCCTATTACAGAACCGTAAAGTATTTGCATCAAGTTATTGTCGTGCGGACGCACTTTTTTTCATTATACGGAGAGTTTGTTTTCCATTACATAGCCATAAAGTATTTGTAAGTATTTGTATTTTGATGGAGACAGTGAAGTAATTTTCCCGTTAATATAATGCGAGTTATTATGTGCTTTCTATATCCTTTATAAATTTTCAACATTTAAAATCATTATTATTCGAAAAGAATTCCCATTTGCAAAATTTAAATTTCACGCGTGATCTATAGTGCCAGCATTATGAAAAACTTAACTGACATCAATAGATTCCGTATAAAGTTTACTGATCAAATCGATGCACATCTGATCCAACCAATCACATGGAATATGATCGAATGATCACATTTCTTACTACATGAACTTACGCAAGATTACGCAAGCACAAACAGTGTTTATAGTTCTTTTAAATAAGCCACATGTTGTGTTAACAGCCATGATACAAAATTTGTTTTAAATAAGCCACATGCTATGTTAACAGCCGCGATGCAAAACTTTACTCAGCATTTCTAAGCCTTAGATGATTTGACTTTAGTCAAAAATTTCGCCTTTCATCGGGGTTTTGCCTTTCTCCAGAGGCTTTATCTTCGCCGTTTTGCTAGGAATTTTCATCTTTCGCTGGGTCTAAGTTCTGTTTTGTTATTGTTCGTCTAACAACTATAGACTACCCGAGTATGCTGCATTCCAACGATTTTATAAGAAGACTTTCATATGATTGGTTGTTTAAATCTATTGAATTTTACATTATTTATACAGTTTAAATTACTTTTTTAAAAAAATTAATCAAAATCTCTTTTTGTTTTTGGGTAGTGTGATAACTTAGTTTTAAAAATCGTTATTATATTAACTTCTCTAAAACAAAAAAGGATTTTGACTATTTTCAATAGTGGAGTTCTACAACCCCTAATGAAACTTTCTACCTACTTTTTTTTTTATTCTTTATAGTTTTATTTTTTTTTAAGAAACACTTAAACTGTATAAATAATAAATAATGTAAAATTCAATAGATGACCAAACCATATAAAAGTCTACTATATTTGCTTTCGCTCCTGGTTTCTTGCGGAACTATATTGCACAGCTACCTTATTCTTCAGTTACGTTTCTAACCCATGCAAAGCATGGGTTAATTAGCTATAAAATTATATTTGTTAAAGTCCTCTTAATGTGCTCTTTGAAGTAATAACACTCTTTTTTACTTTGCCTAAGTTTTATTAAGTTTATAATTAATTTACTGTTAAAAAGTTGATCGATAAAGAAAATAATTAATACGTTACCTATGCTATGTAAAGTAAACACCCTAATCAAGAACATAACTTTTGTATATAATATATGCAGTTGGGCTAGGCTATGCAAAAAGGAAGGAAAATTACAAATTTTTTAAAATATTGTTTTTTATATATAAATCAATTTAGAATAATGTTAGGATCATTTTTTAACTAAGGTATAAAAGCAGCAGTATTAATAAAATTCTGCAATATAGCTTATTAAAGTTTAAATTTTCTTATTATTTATTATAAAATTTATATAACAAAATTTGATTTTCCGAAGATCTTATTTCTTGTTGATTTCCTCTTTTTTGCAGAACACAACCCAATTAATGATCTATTATTATTGCTCAATCATAAACTTTATTAGTGTTTTCTTAGCCTATAAAAGGGAATGATCAGTGGTATAAACATAGCATTGAATAGAATCGGGAAAAATAGATAGTATACGTTAAGCTAATAGGTTCCTGCTAATTTTACTTAGATTATAGGAGCTCTGTGGTCATTGCACTAAAAGCGTAGTCGTTGAGCTATTTTGAGAGATTCATGCAGTCTTTGCATCAATGATCATCAAGCTGCGTAATTAATTTATTGATAGGAGCATGGGAGGATCAAAAGAACCAGTCTAGTACTATAAGGAGGACAATAGCGAAACCGAAACTAATCTCCTTACATTCGCTCATAATTTTTAAATACTGCAAAACTGGTATTGCCTTAACCTCTACCCGCTTATACGTATAGACTGCACATGGAAGTACTCATCCTTCACATGAAAGTTTATGAAAACTTCTCATAGCTTACTCCCTTTTCATATGTGTTGTACGTAAACTTAATACTTTTCTATTTTTACTAAACTCATTGGACGCATTAGGATGCATTTTCCATTCTGCACGTGATATGAGATCTTCTGATTAGTGTTACAAATCGTCAAATTTTTTTTCAATGGCCATTATTTTTTCAGTTGGTTGCAACTAATCGATCAGTTGCAACTGATAGATTAATCGATTAATCGATTAGTTACCACTGGTCAATTAATCGATTAATCGATTGGTTGCAACCAATTCATTAAGTAAATGAATGATTTTTCAATCGATTCTTTGCAATTAATCAATCAATTCTTTAGTCGATTAATTGATTAGTTGGTGTTAGGGTTCTGCAAGTGCCAGGCACGGGCACTACTAAAACGTAGTGCCAGGCACAGGTCTGGGCACCATTTTTAATAGTATGTGCCCGGCACTTGCAGAACCCTAGTTGGTGTCTAAAAAGTTCAGTCGATTAGTTGTCAACTAACCAACTAGTCGATTTATTCGATTCCGATTTGTATCATTAACCTCTGATCTCTAGCCACAATTCTACAAGCGATCTACAATTCTACAAGTGTAGGATTGTAGAATTACTGAAATAATATATCAACATCAATTCTACATTGTAGAATTGCAGGAATTACGTCATTTCTACAGTCGTATGCATGTAGAATTGTAGAATTACCATGATCTACAATTCTACATTCCTCCATCTCTAATCAGTACATACATAGAACATTGTTTTAATGTTTTAAACCCTATTCCTTCAAATATTCATAAAGAAAATGAGTAAACCAGTATATGAAAACATCCCAATCATCGATCTTTCACTGTTTGAAACAGACCAACAATCTTGCGTTCAACAAACTAAGGACGCCTGTGAAAATTTAGGTTTCTTTTACTTAAAAAATCATGGAATAAGTCAAGAAAAAATTGCCGAAATATTCAATATTGTTTCGTATTTAAATTATTGGACTTAGAAAAAAATTTTATGCAAACATTAACAATTATACTATTTTACTTTAATGTAGTCAAAGCTTTACTTTGAACAACATTCTTACGAAGAAAAGATGAAGTATGCTTTGAACGAACATTATCATGGATATGCTGAGAGCCGTAAAGAAAATCTTGATATTACAAGAAAAAATGGTGATGTCAAAGAATCTTTTACTCTCGGAGAATTTAATGACAAGAATGAAGCAAAGACGCAAATTTTACCTCCATTCTTTAAGGAAAAGGCAGAATTTATTGCATCATTTTTCAGGGTAAAAAAAAAAAAAACAATGCAATTTTCCTCATGTTCTTTCTAGATTTTTGCTGAATTTTTTTTCCTTTTTGATAGGAATGTCATGGCTTATGTTTGAAAATTTTTCAAATATTCGCAATCGCATTAGAAATTCATCAATCTGAAGGTGGAATGCATTGGTTTGAAGAAAGACATCTTTCAGATACTAACAGCTGCATGCGTTTTAATCATTATCCTCCGATGGACAAGTTTGATCCTGAAGAAATACGTGCTGGAAGGTATAAGATTCCAAACAAACATTTAATAAAATATTAATAAGACAAATGTTATTAACGTGTTTTTATAATTTTATTGATTAGTCATACAGATTATGGTTCAATAACACTCCTCTTTCAAAAAGACGTTGGTGGCCTAGAAATTCAACCACCTGATACTGATAAATGGTTCCCTGTTCCAGCCATTCCAAATCATATATTGATCAATATTGGCGATTGTTTTAGTTTTTGGACAAAAGGCAAATTTAAATCTATTATGCATCGAGTTTCATTTAACAATGAAAATTTTAGTTTAGATAGGCATAGTATTGCGTATTTCTGTACTGCTGGATCTGATATTAAATTAGATCCAATTCCTTCAAAATTTATACCTACAAATGAAAACGATAAGGATGACAAAATTTTAACTGCCGGCGAGCATTTGATGCGTAGAGCTAGTGCCGCATATGGCAGCTATTAAGAGGTTATTACCTCGAACGTTAGTACTGAAGCAAATTCTTATGGAACTTGAAACTTTTTACTTAAATATTATTAAAATTCTCTTGGTTGGTATATGAATCATTTTACAAACGAAATTTTTTTTTGATGATGACTCTAAGCAGGATAATTTTTTACTTTGCTGACTGAATAACATCATAGCAAATTATAATATAATTAGGAACGCCTATTTCCATTGTGTCTTCCATGCAATTCTTAGACGAACATAATATCATAATAAATTACGGTCAAGGATGGAAGTAGGCGTTACTTAAAATTTTTATCTTACTAATGCTTGATATTACAGTTTATTTATTGCATAATTGTATATAAAATTGCTTGTATTAACAAATAATATGAGTGATGCTAAGGGAACCTGACCTCGTTAATTATAGTTAATTATTTTTTATTAGTGAAATTCAACTCTGATCGAAGTATAGTTGGTTGTAGAATTACTGAATTACGGCATTCTACCATATGGTAGAATTCCTGATTGCCGTAAACATTATACGCGTAATCAGTGTTGTACATTTTTCACTGTCCAAGGCTTTTTGACCATGTCCAACGTCCAAATGCCCAAGTGTCCAAAGAATATTTTTTACTTAAAATAGTATATAGATTATCTTAACAAAATTGTGAGTAATTTTAATTTATATTTTTGTCCAAAAATGTCCGTAACCGTAATGCCGTAGCCGTAATATCGTAACTGTAATGCCGTAATGCCACAATATCATACTTCACCAAAAGACCTAGCTACCACACCAACTTCGTCCGTAAATTCTCAATTTGATTGACTAACAATCGTGATCTACAAAATTTGGCCTGCATTACATAATTGTCTACATAATTTTGGCAGAATTAATTTTTTACCTTTTTTATTCTAAAAATAAAAAGAAGTTTGCTATTTATTACCACTGGTAATCATCATTGCAGGATTAGGTACACATGAGGATCGCTCATGTAACGAAATATAACCCTAATCTCTAATACTAATACACTGGTGATGATCACCACTGGTAATAAATAGCAATTCTCAAACATAAAAATTTTTAGAGAAATAGATTGAACAATGGTAAAATTAGCCTAGTAACATTTTTACCTGATGAGCAGCTGTGGTTTCATTGGACCAGATAGTTTATCTGAGTTCAACTGTTAGTTCTTCTTAGAATATGATATTCGAAAGTAGCATAAGCGTCTTGCTCTAATACTTTCCTCTCTCAAATAAATATACATTATATAAAGAATTGAGCCTTGTGAAGTTAGGGTGTTCGATCATCCAATAAAATCAAACATACATCTAGTTCCATATAAATTTGAAATACTGCAAATTTTTAAAATTTTTTTTTATTATTACATAAATTATGATATGTGACGATTATAAGTGCAGACATTTGAAGACGCATGGTTATGTCCAATTGACGTATTTTCACGTAAAAAATGTTATAACGACATAGGTCGTAATAACTGACATTGCATAACCTTAATTCAGTAGTTACGTCAATATAAAAAGTTATAAAAGTTCATAACAATAAAGATGGTTATGAATTTAATTTTTACAACCATTAGTTTTTCAATTACTGCTCGTTTAGATTTTATTACTAATTTTAAAAATAAATTCGCTATCTTCAATAAGATTCGAGTCTAATAACTTATGTATATAAGGACAACTACATAGTACACTTTGTACGCTTTACAGGGTAAAATTAAGAATTTAAATCAAACAATATAATGAATATTACTAATTAAACTTATATAGGCTAAAAAACATTTAAATTCAAAGGTTTTCGTATTGTGACTGAATGCAGAAGTTTGGTACGAAATCCCGAAACTCAATCCTGATGTACAGTACATATGCTACGAAGTATTATGTCCCTGGTTAAATGGAGACCTCTTTGTTTTAAGCAAGTATGCGATCATGTAGTGTTTGGCGAAAAAAATCAATGAATTCAAGAATTGATGCCGCCGTGATGCGTTATGCTATTATTATCGGTGTTGATATTTTGTTGTTCTATTGCAAATTTGCAAACTCTGTTCTATTGCTATTGAGAATTTTATAAGAATTTTATTGACTTTATTATGGAAATATATTTAACTGTTTGATTTAATAAACTATTTATTAAACTATTGCAAACCAAATTTTTACGAGAAAAATTTCTATTGATCTATTACAAATCAAAATATTATGAAGTTAATTTGACTATTTTATTTATAATAAAATGAGACAAAATTAATACATAAAACGTTTGCATCGTAAAATAATTAATATATTACCTGTTATTACTCTTAATATTTTATATCATCGCTATCAATATTTATTTTTATCTTTTAGAATCAATATCTATTTCTACTTTTCAGCAGTGTCAATATCCATCTTTCACTTTTTAGAATCAATATCCATTTTTATATTCTCTATATACATTTTTTATTTTGTCAATATCAATATTATTATCTGATATAACACATTAATGTAATTGTTGATTGATATAACTAATAAGTTTACTATTATAAATAGAATTATTATCATTAGTAAAGGTAGAATCATTATTTTCTATTACCATTTCTTTATCAGAGTTTATAAATTCTGATAAAATTCCAAAATCATTCTTCCATTTTGTAATAGTTTCATAAATTTCTAATGCCGATGGGCGTTGATCTGGATTCTTATTCCAACATTTCTTTAAAAGTTCTGCATAACATATTGCTGTACCTCTAAGAATATTAGGTCTTAATCCTTCACAAATCTCTATAGCCAAGCTTTGGTCATTACCTTCATATTTAGAAAAGGCAATATTTCCTGAAGAAATTTCCCACATAATTATTCCTAAAGAGTAAATGTCGGATGTTTTGGTAAACGGGGTTCCTTGCAAAATTTCAGGAGCAATATAAGGTAAAGCGCCATAAATTCCTTTATATTCTGCGTCCAATGCTTTATCT